CGTTTAAACTTCCACCATCTGTCCTCAGAATCTTTGCATTTATACTAAATTACCCCTTTTACCAAATCATACCAGTAAATGGCATGCTCAACCAAGATATTTAATTGGAACATAAAGAAAATTATTATTTTAAACACGATTATACAAAAAAGTTGTTATGAATGGGGTTTTTGCATATGCAAATAGTTCTATTTTTAAGTACAGTATAGGTAAAATGTAATTGTCCAGATAAAAAAATACAATATTTTTTAATGCTGTGGCATTCAACTGAGAAATTAAGGAGTCCGCTAGATCTACTTTTTGATCCCAACACATTTTAAATGATCCTAGCGTTGTCCAACTGTGAGAAGGTCATCATCAGCGTATGTCCAGCAAGATTGAGATCCTGCGCTTAGTGTTGGAAGGCTACGTAATGGTGGAAGAATCCATGTGAATAGTAAATTCATTAAAAATTCCTTACATCATGGTTCTGTTCTCTTTGATTTAGTCTTCACTTTAATTCAGTCTGTTTTTTATAAATATATATATAAAAGAAAATTCAATATAGAATATGGCATGTCTATTATAAGTCAATTCTCCTCCATCTGGTAAGTTAGAGCAATAAAGACATACTTGGTGCTGTAGACAAACTGGGCTCAGAAGTGATATCTTACAAATTTTTAGAATATCAGTGAGAAACAAAAATGTTCTAGGGATAATACCCTGCTCTCCCACCCGCAACCCTCATTCACTCCTTATACGACCAAACAGCAGTGAACATAAAACTTATACCACCCAATTATTATAAAACAAAAATGGCAAGCGTGCTAACGTTGGCTTTCATCTCTATCATTCCTCATGAGAGATGACATCACATGAGAAGAATGATGTTTAGTATTATTTAAAAGAAGAAAAACTACCACAACAAGAGGGCATAGTTTTAAATTAGAGGGGCAAAGGTTTAAAAATAATATCAGGAAGTATTACTTTACTGAGAGGGTAGTGGATGCATGGAATAGCCTTCCAGCTGAAGTGGTAGAGGTTAACACAGTAAAGGAGTTTAAGCATGCGTGGGATAGGCATAAGGCTATCCTAACTATAAGATAAGGCTAGGGACTAATGAAAGTATATAGAAAATTGGGCAGACTAGATGGGCCGAATGGTTCTTATCTGCCATCACATTCTATGTTTCTATGTTTCTATCCATGTTTTGAAGTTAGCAAATTACCTGTACATCACTCTGTTAATGAATAAAAACTTTTATAACCTGCACCTCAAAGGGAATGTTTTAACTTGGAATCAGATCAGCTGCTTAGCTAGCATTAATAATAAACAAATGCACTCATATTGGCCAGCGTTGGCTCTTATGAATTTTTTTAATCGTAGTAACACTGATAATTGTGTATAAGCATTTAATATCATATACACCTCTTTTCTTTAAGTAGAAAATGATTAAAAAAAACAACAACAATGCAAATGGACCTGAAAAATAATAAGCAGGGGAAAAAATGGGTGGAGTACGTCTACCTACCCAGCCTCCCAGCATGAGGAGGTAACAGCTTGTATCGGATTGCCCTCTCATTAATTGAGCTTGGAAAGATGCCAGGGCTATTGCTCAAATTGGCAGATTAATTTGGCATCCTACACTATAATATTATGCCAATTTATGCTGGGTAAAAGATTGTAAAACGCTTTCACGTTACCAACATCATATTATCAATTCCCCTTGAAGTTCGTTAAATGGGCATCTAAGAAATTTTCCTCGATTATATCAGAAGATACAAAACCATGTACGTGTGGTATGACTTTTTTTTTTACGTTTTTAAAGCAGCTTTGTTTTTGATTAGAATAGCCATCGAAATAGCATACTTTTTAACCCCTTCCCGCTGTTACGGCGTTCTATGCCGTCGCGACTTTAAGGGGCTTTAACCCCTTAAGGACACATGACATGTGTGACATGTCATGATTCCCTTTTATTCCAGAAGTTTGGTCCTTAAGGGGTTAAAGGCGTTGCGGCGGCATAGAACGCCGTAACGGCTTTGAGCCCCAGAGGACCGGCGGTACTTACCTCCGCCGCGATCCTCTTCTGGAGGGCTGCCAGACCGCCCAGGCAGCCCTCCTCCGGTGAATGAGGCCCCCGGGGGCCATGTGATCGCTCTGAAAGAGCGATCACATGGTCCCCTATAGCTGGCTGTGGATCTGCCAGCAGGGGGGCTGTCTGAAATAGCAGACAGTCCCCCTGCTGGTGGAAAGTGTAAAAAAAATAAAAAATAAACATGTTAAAATAAATTAAATCTATTTTTATATATATAATATATACGTATAATTACAATAATAAATAAATTAAATAATAAAATAAATAAAATATTGAAACAAAATGTAATATAAATTATATATTCATATGTAATTTCATTCTAACTGTATTTTGTTATTAATATATATATATATATATATATATATATATTGGTAACAAAATACACTTAGAATGACATTCTATATATATCTATATATATATATATATATAAAATACAAATAACCGCAAATAAATATATATATAGATAAATACATATAATTACATAAAAGATTACATTAGTATACACGTAGAATTTAAATACCTATAAATGCATATATATTAAAATTCTACGTGTATATTTAAGTAATCTTTTAACATAATTATGTGATTTGATTAATTAAAATTTGATTGACATGCCTGACAACACAGGGAAAAAGTGCAGAGAATTTAATTCGCAAGCACTATATTTGACCCTGTAACTCTCCAAGACTCCATAAAACCTGTACATAGGGGGTACTGTTTTACTCGGGAGACTTCGCTGAACTCAAATATTAGTGTTTCAAACTGGTAAATTGTATTACAACGATGATATTTTAAGTAAAAGTGAAGTTTTTTGCATTTTTTACAAACGAACGTCATGTTTATGGACTATATTATTGTTCTAATATTCTTTACTGTTTTAAAACACTAATATTTGTGTTTAGTGAAGTCTCCCGAGAATAACAGTACCCCCCATGTACAGGTTTTATGGTGTTTTGGAAAGTTAGAGAGTCACATATAAGGCTTGCATTTAGTTTTGTTGACATTGAAATTTAACAGATTGGTTATGTTGTAATTCTCATTCCTGGGCTACCACACCGTCTCAAAGGTAACAATTAAATTAAAAATTTCAATGTGAAAATGGAACATTCTATATTTGACCCTGTAACTTTCCAAAACACCATAAAACCTGTTAATACTGTTGTACTCGTGAGACATCGCTGATTACAAATATGTGCATTTTTTTGCAGTAAAACCTAACAGTATTATGACATTTACAGCTAAAATGTGAGGCGAAACTACAATTTTTTTAAAAAATGTACAATTTCTCACAGTTTTTTAAATTTTATTCATAATAAATTATGTTTCATATATAAATATTTGATATGAAATGAAAGCCCTGTTTCTCCTGAACAAAATTATATATAATAAGTGTGGGTGCATTTACTATGAAAGAGTTGAATTACGGTTGGACAGACATGTAGCGCAAATGCCAGGTTTTGTTTACATTTTGTTTTGTTCACAACGTGTACATTTGGCTCCGTCCTTAAGGGGTTAATCAGTGAGATATTATCCCTTATTGACATATTTTTCTTTTCCATCGCCTGCAAAAACGTTATGAATACTGGCTGCTAGTACGAATCTAGATTTCTAATTATAAGTAGTGAGACATTCATTATTTACTAAAACCTTATTCTAAGACTGGACAAACTAGTGTCTCTATATAATATTCAAAAGAGCAAGAATAAAAAAAGTTTTAAAAAAAATATAGATTTTTTTAAGGGTTTATAAAACCACAATACATGGCTGAAGAGATCACTGTCAGAAGTATTAAATTGTGCATGGTCTTTCAGACTCTTTCATCAGGTGGCAAATATAACACAGAGTTATGAGTATTCTGGAAGCCAGTGATCTGCAGAATTATTTAATTTAAGCTAAAACTAGCAGATTGCAGTTTGTCATCTTGGTTATGAAGATATCTAAACAGTTTTCATAATACAAAATAATTTTGCAATATATGTTAATTTAACCTACCCTTCAAAGTTCTAATGGCAAGTGCAATTTAGTTTAAAATATATTTAATTGTTTGGTGCTGGTTGGATCTTTTCCCACCTGCAGTATTCACTAGGTGTTCTATAGATCTCCATTGACATAACTATTTGGAACACTGACAGCAGCCTGATATGCACTGCTCCGAGAAAGGTCAGTGATCACTTAAACTTGGTCATTTAACCCCAAATATCTTGTAAACTAAATGACTATGGAAATTACAGGTCTGTGAAGTTGAATTAATTTATGCTACAACATGTGAAATGTTACTCTTTGTTGATCTCTTTATTTGATCTCTTACATAGTTACATAGCTGTGCATTAAGTTCAGCCTTTCTCACATTTGATTGTTGCTGTTGATCCAAAAGAAGTAAAAAAAAAAAAAACCTAATCTGATGCACTTCCAATTTTGCAACAAACTAGAAAAAAATTCCTTCTCGGCCCCAGAATGGCAGTCAGATATCTCCTTGAATCAAGAAGCTTGGATCAGCTGCATACACTCGCTATGCTCATAAATTCAAACACAATACATTACAAGTAGCAATATGTATATTTACGCACTCCTCCCTGTCACAGTTGCCTCATTCCAGGGCCCTATTTAATCTTACACTGCAGAGAGTCCCAGGGCTTAATGTAGTTGTTCTGGTGAGTATAATAGCTCCCTTCAGGTAGACATGTGCAATTCGTTTAGTTCCGAATGCAAATTCGTCCGAATTTCGGAAATTCGGATTAAGGGTTGGGGTAGGATTAAGGGTTGTGGTAGGGATAGTGGATAGGATAGGGTTAGGGGTAGGGTTAAGGGTTGGGGTAGGGATAGTGGTAGGGTTAGGTGTTGGGTTAGGGGTTGGGGTAGGGTTAGGGTTAGTGGTTGGAGTAGGGTAAGGGGTAGGGTTAGGGTTATGTGTAGGGTTATGGGTAGGGTTATGTGTAGGGTTAGGGTTATGTGTAGGGTTATGGGTAGGGTCAGGGGTAGGGATAGGGGTAGGGTTAGGTTAGGGTTAGGAGTAGGGGTAGGGTTAGGGTTAGTGGTTGGAGTAGGGTAAGGGGTAGGGTTAGGGTAGTGGTACCCTACCCCTACTCCTAACCCTAACCTAACCCTACCCCTATCCCTACCCCTGACCCTACCCATAACCCTACACATAACCCTAACCCTACACTTACCCGAAGCCCGAAGTGCTGATGTGCTGAAGCATTGGGTTGGTTAAAAGCGGCATGGGGTGGGGCCAAATACTGTTTGGCCCAATCAGGACCTCCTCATAGCGATGCATTGAATCAATGCATATCTATGAGGGAAATTCAGCGTCTCCATGCAGAGCGTGGAGACACTGAACGGCAGGGCTGCCTGAAGGTAGGGATGTTCATGGGGAAAATATTCAGTTCAGCATTCCGAAATTCAGGACTTCAGCACTTCAGAATTTCAGAACCTTTCCAGAGAAAAGGCACGGTTTACATTGCCCCTAGGGGCACCTCCAAATGGCCACTCCTTAGATGGCCATTGAAGGGGCTTACTGACTCAGGGCTGCACAGTAAGCAGCCCTGACGTTCAGTGTCTTCACGCTCTGCATGGAGTCGCTGAATTTTCCTCATAGATATGCATTGATTCAATGCATCGCTATGAGGAGGTCCTGATTGGCCAAAATGGCATTTTGCTCCGCCCCATGCCGATTTTAAAAAATCTGCCATTTTGATGATGTCACAAATGGGGCGGAGCCAGAGACCGGCAGACCAAATAAGGTGGGTTTTAAACTTTTAAAGGGAAACTAAGGGGGTGCAAGCCACCTAAATGGTGAGTTTAACACTATAGGGTCAGGAATATATTTTTGTCTCATAAGAGCAGGCATTAGGTTGCTAGAGTAGGACCTGCCTAAAATGGGGTACATTGACGTTGGGGCAGACTTATGCAATATATGATCATATACTGTAACTAACCTTCTATGACTTTTAATTTTTTGGGGAGTCTTATTAAAGGGCAATAGCACAAAATGTGTAGATGGGTGCCTCATGGCATAATCTCTACTTTGCATGCTGTTTGCTGTCTATTGCTGATTTCATTTTAAACCCACAAGTACGCAATAGAGGAAAATTGCAACTTTTATTTTAATTGAGCCTCTATATTGCTGTTCAGGTTCAGTTTATGTATTTATACGTGGATTGACAGCCAACAGTTTATGGGATAAAGCACACCAGATGTAAATAGTATTAGAATGCATGGCATAATGGTGATTTGAAGGTTAATTTCTCTTGAGATATTTTGACATAACAGATACAATAATAGTCAAACTGTCATTTTTTCTTTCTGCTCTGAAATTTAAAAAATAAAATATATACACACGTATATATATACAATTTAATCAATCCAATCTATAATATATATAATAATATAAAATGTGAATCCAACCCTGCATATAAGAATAAATAAAATAAGTAATATTTTTTTAAAATGACCCATGTACATGTAAAAATAAATATAAAAGTAGATGAAATAAAAAATAAATAAATAACATCCAGTCTTAAAAAAAAAAAAAAAAATCCCACTTTGAAAAAATAATGTTAAGCCAAGCAAATATAAACAGATAATAGTTTATACATGAGGTTTTTATTCCAGAGGAAGTAGCTAAGTCCCTGAATGAACGTTAAAACACATTAGAATTGCTGTGGGAGAGGGTGTACACAGGAAGGAGCAATTGCAGTGGGGGGCAGGGGGGGAACTAATCTTTCACAAAATTCATCTGTGAGGTCTTGTTTGTTTCTAAACTTTCATAGAGGAACTAAAGTTAATTTTATCAGGATGCTCTTTCAGTGTCATTTGAGAATTATGTAATGTATTCTAAACTATTTTTGAAAGGCATACATAATTTACGATTCTTTTTCTTGTTATGTCTACTGAGGTTTATGAGCTAAAATGGTTAACTCAAATCCGTTCAGTCCATTGCAATGGCGATGGGCAGGGGGTAATGAAAATAATAATGGACCAGAAAATGCCAAAATATATGCTATCAAGGCTAAAGAATAGTAAAGATGGTTATTATTTAAATAACAGTTTCTGAGCAGTATCCAATGACTGAATTAAGCAACGAAATTGAAGGGTTACTCAGGGTGGTGCAAGGATTTTTGACTACACAGGCAAAGATGCATTTTGCTGCCCCTCCCCCCCCAAAAAAGTGCTTCAATTGTGGGAAGGAAGGGGAAAAAAACCCCAAACCAAGTTCTTCCTGCATCTGGATTCCCCCTCTGGTTTAGTCACTCCCCTCACTGCATGAGGAGGGACATATTGGAGGATGAATTCAGAGGAAAGGCATAGGAACTGGGTGGGCCTCAAAAACATGTAAAAAAAGACTATAAAAACTTGATTTGTGAGTGTAGGAGACAATGTGTTAATGTGAATTTGTCAAATCAGTGAGTGTGTGTGTGTCTGTCAGTGAGTGTATGTCAGTGAAGGTGCACCAGTGAGAGTATAAGGAAGGCCCTTCTTTGATTCTTGCACCACGGCCCTGTGATTCCTAGTTACGAACCCAGGCACAGCCTCTTTGCCGAGCCGGCTTCTACATAAACCGTACAGCACTGCTTCCAAGATGCACTGTTGTACGCAGCACAGACAGAGTTAAGATTGGCTGAAGTTTGCAGGAGACGGCATGAAACTGACTGAACGAGGTGAGTGTGATAAGATTTCTTAAAGGGAACCTGTACTCTAAGAAAATAATTAATTATTTACTTACCTAAAATGTTTTTTTTTTTTTCCATCTGTTCCAAAGGAGCTTCATATGTTTTTCATATATAATCAACTCCTCTTTAACCATTCCAGTGGCACCATAAGCCACCTCTCAGCATTTCCTCTTTTTGGGAAAGCCTTGGTTGGTTTTTCCAATGCCTGGCACTCCCTCTCTGCTGACCTAGATATTCTGTATTTAATGCCAGCACATTGATTGAACACAGTGATGTCTCAAGTCACTCGGTAAGGAATACTGGAAAAGGGCATCCAGGGCTGGGGGAAGACCTTATCTAGTTCTCCATCCAAGGCGGCCAGCTTGCAATTGGCACATGTCCAGCCTTCAGAAAAATAAGCAGGGTTGGAGAAGGCTAGGAGGATGGCGGTAGAAGGTGTCAGGAAGACAGGAGGAGGTACCAGGTCGGCTCACTACATGACAGACATTGTCTTTGTGGATTATGCCGATAGTCTGTCACGTGGGGGAGGGGTGAGTGGCGTGATGAAAGTAAATATTTTTTACAGCTATTCATACATTTGCTAGCGATTTCACTAGCACAATGTATAATTGGAAATACTGAGTAAATGGAAACTGAAAAGTGCATGACAGTCTCCCTTTAATGCTGCCTGTACACAATAAGAGTTCAGTATGGTAGGAAGGGAGCACTGCCTTGTATATGTCCTCAAATCCAGGTGATAATCAGTAGATAGGTAAAAGAAGAGAACAGAAAAAAATAATATAGTGTGGCATCTTCTAAAAAATGGTCTAAAGAGTATAGAAATGCACATTAAGTTTTTTGGAGCTACACATCAGCTTCAAATGGTAGCCCCTGGGTGTTACAATCCCTGCCTATAGATATGTTGGTCCAGTCTTGTCAGATGGTATGTCTCTATCTGATCAGAGTAGTGGGGTGTAAGTGTCCAAGCTTGGGAGCAGCAAATCACTGTTGTAGAAGTTTATGTAAATGATTAAAACAGCAAATAATTCTCACTGGTAAAAACTGTAAATAAAAAGAAATAGAAAAAGAGGTACTCACAAGGATATTGCTGAAGGAGTCCTCTTGATAAAATCTTCTAAAGAACTTTCAGAAGGGTAAAAAATATATAACTTTTATTAGAAATTAAAAGAATAAAATACACCAATGTGTTTTGTCAAATTACAGGCTTTCTCAAAATGTTTATAGACATCTGGACAAGATCTGTTTATATAAAATCAAGTAAAAAAACAGTTGATGTCCCAGTCATGTGACCATAAAATGAATTAATAATTTGAAATATTAAAATTACATAAAACTACAGAGAATCATATAGAAGCTAGTTATTAATGAATGTAATACAATAAAAAAAAAAAAGTGATATTTATAAATTAATATTAAAAATAGTGTGGGTCCCCTTAGTGGGAGGATCAATATGGCCACCTCCCACTGACATCATAAAACGGGTGTGGAGGCAGCTATAGGAGGGTCAAAAAATATCTGTTAGCCGTAATATAGTAAAGGGGGGGAGGGTAAGAGGGTGAAATGCTTTAGTGTACTCTTTAGACCATTTTTTAGAAGATACTACACTATATTGTGTTTTCCTGTCCCCTTCTTTTACATATCTACTTATTATCACCTGGATTTAAGAACACCCATTAGGCACTGCTCCCTTTCTACCATATTGCATCTGACAGAGTAAAATTGTCTAGCACCGGCCATGCCTGCAAGGATGTCAAAATAGTAGACCTAGAGCTGGCAAAGCATTATGGAAGTTGCATGGCAGCAGAGGATCAGCTGATTTACCCCCTTTTAGGATCCTTGCACGGGGGCCCTAAGGTTTCTACTTAACGCCCCTAACAAATGCCAATATTAATAACAAAGTGAGCTCTAAGTTTTTTTTTTAAATGTTAGCAAATATATGCTACCACTTAATCTTACACAACCAACCACTGACTCAGGAAAATTACCGAAAGGCATGGCACACAGACCTAGGCATAGAGCTAAGCCCAGAACAGTGGAAAAAAGCTTACTCAGCACACAAAGTCCTGACATCATGTGCCCAACACCTAGAAATACAACGGAAACTACTATACCGTTGGTACTTAGTGCCAGAAAAAATACACAAAATATGGCCCACCTCCACAAACACATGCTGGCACTGTGAGAAAGATGTGGGCTTGATGATCCACGTTTGGTGGACATGCCCCGCACTCGCACTTCTCTGGACACAAGCCATACATATCATATCAGACATGCTAGGCTACCAAGTGGAAAAAAACCCTGTGCAATGCTTGCTGTACATATTCCCCGAAGGAATGCCCAAAGCTCACCAAGCATTACTGTACCATACACTAGCATCAGTACATATTCTAATAGCGAGACATTGGAAATCCAAGGACATACCGTCACGTACACATTTAAAAAACCAAATCGCACTCAACTGGTCATATGAGACCATGCACCAACACCAATTTGGCCCGAAGCCCGCACTAACTAAGGCGCAA